CAATGCTGCATCAGTTTGTTGAAAGATTTCAATTTGCATTCCATCAATTCCCAGAGCCTTGGTCTTTGCCAATGAGTTCAGTACCATTAAATCTTCTCTTTTTTTAATGTTTTATTGTGAATTATGTGATACAGGGGAGAACATTGGTTTTACATTCATCCTGTCATATACCGTTTCATTGCCATGGTTACAATCAATCCCCTCCATGCATCAAAGTCTCTTCTGACATCCATTTTGGTCTTTTCCTTGTTTCTACTCTTCTTAATGACCTTTAGCTTTCTTCCTATATGATGTTCTTCATGTCATCTCACAGCTCTTCTCATCTTTGATCACAAATGTCTAATGCATCAAAACTCTTGTTTGAGATGGAGCTCTTAAAGTCAAATGGAATGTGCTCAAGATCGTATTTTGTAATTTTCTATTGCTTCAGCCTGAACCTGCATATTAGCAATAGATAGCCTGTTACACAGTCTGCCCCTGGTCTGGTTTTTGGCTGATGATATGGAACCTTTCTACCATCTCATTCAAAAGATGTATTCAATTTGATTTCTGTGTATTCCATCTGATGAGGTCCATGTGTACAGTTATATTTTATATTGTTTAAAAAGGTATATGCAATGAATTTGTTATTGGTCTTGCAAAATGCAAGCATGCAATCTCCAGTATTGTTTCTATCACCAAGGCCCTGTTTTCCAATTACTGATCCTTCTTCTTTATTTCCAACCTTTGCATTCCAATCATCAGTAATTATCAATACATCTTGATTACACATTTGATCAATTTCAGACTGAAGAAGTTGGTAGAACTCTTTAACCGACAACTTATTTTCATGTGCTATCTGACATCTTTACAACCTTTTTTGTCAGATGTCTGTTTCTATCTTTTGCTCATTTTTATCATTGGATTGTTTGTTATTATTGAGCTTTAAAAGCTATTTACATATTCAACATGTTCCTAAAAATATGTGATTTGCAAATAGTTTCTACCAGACTTTAAGCTCCTTTTTTAAATCTTCTTCACATGGGCTTCTTTTTAGGGGAGTATGGGGGTAGAATAGGAGTAAGGGGTTAGGTTTAAGAATGTGACTAGGTGGAGGAACAAACAAGATGGCGGATCGGGTGGACGTATAGCATAAAGCTCCGCCAACAACAACACAGAATAACTGACCAAGCAGGCTCAGGGGATGGTCCCAGAACTCTGAACTGCATATAAAGGAATACTCAGAAGGTTGGAAGGCTCACAGCTGGGGGAATCTGGGGCAGAAGCAAGAAATCTATTGCTTTCTAGTCCGGGCAGCTCGGCTGCGCCAGGAGTCGCCATCTTGCGTGAGACCATATGTGGTCGGAGCGGCCACAGACGCCTGGCAGAACCGCTGAGATAAAGGTGTGGACATTCTTTTCTTTTGGTATCCTAGGGTCCTTTGTTTCTGGACTTTAAAATTAACTGCTCCCCCATTTTTGTTATAAAACATCTACCTTTACAACTGTGACAGTCGCAATTAGTCATGATAACAATAACTCACTATTGAATCATAAGAATCGTATCCCCATCTTTTACACCAGACCCATGTAGACAAGATGAAAACTATTCAGAGGGGACTCTTTCTTCCCCACACACTCTGAAACTAAACTCTTTTTTGAAACCTTATAAGGCAGTCACTTTGTGCCAGCAACTGGTCCCTCCTGACAATATGTCCGAAGTATGAGAGACAAAGTTTGGCCATACTGGCCTCCAAGGAGCACTCTGGCTGCACTTCTTCCAGCACAGATCTGTTGGTTCTTTTGGCAACCTATAGCACTTTCAATATTCTCCTCCAACACCATTAACTCAAAAGCATCAACTGCCTAATTAGTATTAAAAAAAAACAGTCTACCTTGAACATTGGTCTTTTAAGAAATATTTGTTACTGTTGTTGTTAAGGGCCACTGGCTTGGTTCTGACTTATAACAACCTTGTATGTGTGGTTTCTGAGGCATCTTCATGCAAATAGAAAAAAACTCATCTTTCTCTCAAGGAGCAGCTGGCAGACTTGAACCGCAGATCTTAACACATGGAGCAACTGTGCTACCAAGAAATATTTATATGAGATCAAACTGACAACAACTTAAAAAATTAGATAAGAGCCCTTTGTTGTTGCTGTTACATGCCGTGGAGTTGGTTCCGACTCCTAGCAACCCTGTACAGGGTTTCCGAGGTTGTAAATCTTTACAGGAGCAGAAAGCCTCATCTTTCTACCGTGGTTGTTGTTGTTGTTGTTGTTGTCAGGTGCCATCGAGTCGGAACCGACTCATAGCGACCCCATGCACATCAGAACGAAACAATGCTCAATCCTGGGCCAACCTAACCACTGCTGCCACCCCCGAGTCCATCAATGATACCACCTGGCCGATCCATCTCGTTGG